CTCTTTGCAGCCCAGAGAAAAGGGAGCTTGGGTTTGTGTAGTGAGGTTGCCAGCATGGGGGCCAGTGTCATCACCCTCCCGCCGGCCCTCTGACCTGTCCCCGCTTTGCATGTTAGAAGCCTGCCCCCCTTCCACCCCTGCACACGGGCTTGCCTGCCCCTGCTGTGCTCCCTAATGCAGCCATCCAACCTCTGCCAGGGCTCACTCTTAGCCAGAGTCTCTGTTAAGTGCCTCCCTTCCGTTACCTGTTTAGCTGCCCCTTCCCATGTTGCTTGAGTTACTTGCTCTTGTTATTTTTGTTTTATAAATGATCACAAATCCACAACGGGTTGTATGCCATGGAGATGGTGTCACTGTATCCAAAAGAGTGTTACCACATAATAAGCAGTCAGTAAACGCAGACCAGCATTAAAATGAAGTCAGGTGCCCCAGCCTCAATTAGGAATATAAATGTGATCACTTTGGTGGTTGTACGTTTAACAACTTGATCTTGAACTTTGAGGCAAATGCAGCTACAAAAAATGTGCAGCAATATTTGATCGCAACATGGCCATCAATGTAATCCAAATTTTACTTAAAGTGTGTTCAGATTCTTTTTGGTCTATTAATTTTGATAAATATTTTTGTAGGAAACTCTCAATTCTTGTCGCCACTCTGCCTCGTTGTCCATGAAATAGGTTAATAATGACACATTTTACAGGGTTGATTTAAACGTTCAAAGTAAACAATGATTTATTATGCAGAGACTCTTATTTTGGTTTTGCAATTGCTATGATCATGCCAATAAAAACCAGACACACTTTGAGCTGGTTTTATAGAGAGCTAAACAATCTGATATGACAGGGTCGGTGCCGTGGGCTCTCGCCTCAATCTCTCAGAAAAGACTGGATTGTTTTTTGCTGGGGTCAAGGGAGAGCCTTGTAGAGGGGTCAGGGCTTGGCAGTGGTCAGGAGTGCAGACTCTGGGATCAGGCACATCTCATTCAAGTCACAACTCTGCCCTGGATGGATCTGACTTTGAAATGAACAGTCCCCCTTTCTGCCCCTCCTCACTCTTGGACACCATTCTGGGTGCTCTGTGACCCTAGGATGTAGAGTTTAGGAGGAGCCTCCTGGGTGTGTGAATGGGTGCCATGGGAATGTAAAACCTGTTTTCAGTGCCTGCTGGTTTGCTCTGGTCTACTTTTCAGGTTCCCTAGAGAATGAACCATATACTGGAAGCCCGCTAGAAGTTCTAGGGGAGAGACAAGGACCAGATTTGCAGGAAAGACTTCAGACTCACAATAGGAGTAATGAGAGATGCTGATGCTGTGCCTTCTTCAGTGTCCTTTGAAATAATTCAATACCCTTCATAATTAAAATCACAAAAGCATAGAGTTTCATATCTTTAACACAATATAGTGAACCTCACTAGCCTCAAAAGTAGACACAATTATAGGGGTCACAGCATCCCAGGGCAGTGTCAGTCCCAGAGATGGACAGCTCACTCCCTTTGCTGAGATGTCTCAGTCTATGATCTGGGAACTGGCCTCTCAGGGATGGGAATGATTATTGCTTGACCCTTCGCATGCTGCATAATTAATGCCGTTATCTGATGGCCAGGCCCAGTCCCCTGCCATTTCCACTGTCCCTGTTCTCACTGTCCTGCCCTCAGCTGAGCAGACTTTGATCTGGTGAATTCAGAATAGAGCCCTGTGGGATAACAGCAAGGCCCTGCTGCTTGGGAATTCTGGACTCGTCTCTTAGCAATTATGGCACCAAGAGCCACTTACTTAACCTCTCAGGGCCCAATCCACTTTTGTAAATTTACACCATAGGTTTCAGTTTCCCTGAAGGTTTGGAGGACTAGATGTAAGGATTAGCAAGACACTGGAGTGAGAACACATGCCCTCCCAGCCCCTGTGACAGGGTCATGGGCACCTGTTTTGCCCACTTCTTGTGTGTCTCTGGGTGCCTGGAAATTGATTCTTTTTTAAAAAATATATGTATCTTTATTGATTTCAGAGAGGAGAGGAGGGGAAGAGAGAGAGATAGAAACATCAATGATGAGAGAGTCATTGATCGGCCGCCTCCTGCATGCCCCTGACTAGGGATCGAGCCCACAACCTGGGCATGTGCCCTGATCGGGAATTGAACCCCAATCACTTGGACCCTAGGTCGACGCTCAACCACTGAGCCACGCCCAGCCGGGCTGAGAATTGATTCTTGATCAGCAGGATGTATTGGGCCACCCACCACTCCAGCTGGTCTATATAGTATCATCTCCTGCCTTTCTCTCCTAGGCTCATTTACCTTAGACGCACACCCATGAGTATTTCCCTGCACTTTATTCATTTGTTCACTCTGAACTTTATTTCATTTGTTTATGAAAATTCCTGTGCTTGGCCCTCCCTCTCTCCATCCCTTCTTTAAAGGTTCAACTGCAGAGTCACCTTTTCCAGGAAGCCTTCCCTACCCACCCAATCACACATTCCTAGCGTCCTAAGGTTTCTTCTAATATGACACCACATTTCACCACAATCATGTGTTTGTGCCCCTGGTTCTTCCAACTTAAGAATATTTTCCTCTGGGGGCTGAGGGGTGAGAGGTGGTGCGAGGGCAGCGAATGTTAATCTCTGGAGCTCATGTGCTTAGCATATAGGAAACACCAAATATAGAGCATTAGGATCATGATGATTAAATGGAATTGAACTGACCCCATGCCTTGCTGAGGAATATAAAAAAACTCAATGGGGCTCCCAATCATTCTGTAATATGGAAATACAGTTATCTACAGTCAAATAGATCAATAGTGACAGCAAATGCGTTTACCCAAAATACATCATAAGCATTAAGGAAACTCAGGGGATGGTTGTAAATTATTCAGAGTTAATATATCAGCTTATCTAATACTAATGAGTTGTTGCTTTTAAAGGTTTAAATGGGTCCGAATCTCTTGGGGATGTGGGAATTGACCAGTTCACAAAGAAAATGCCATCACTTAAGTATCCGAGTGGAAGGACTCATGTGGGATTTCTACTGATAATGATCATAAGGCTAATAGGCTGTGTGTTTGTTGTGTTTATGGGAAGTTTTATGCTCACTCTGTTGCCCAGTGAGGGCAGCTAGGGCCCTGTCCAATGTGCTGAAGCCGATGAGTCACCGAGGCTGAACTTGACACCCACCTCAGATTATTCCTGTAATTCCAAGTCCACTGAATTTTTAGGGGACTCTGTCACTTTGCCCCACAGAATGGAAGTCAATAAAATTGGCCTTGCAGTGATTTTTGAGCAAGCTGAATCAAAAAAGTATCCTTTAAAAATCTCTGCTTAAAACAAGCTTATACACAGAGAGGAACAAAAACCACGTTTAGGAATCAGGAAGGAAAACAGTGAGCAGCAAGGATGGTTGGGGGCTGATTCTGAGCCTCACAATGTGCACTTGTCTTTTGCACCCAACAGAGGGATTGGACACTCAGAGGGAGATGGAGGCTAATGCCTATGAGGGCAGGTCTGCTTCCAAGGAGCAATAAGAAGATGCAGTTGTGAGCAGGTAACAGGGCCAGAAATAGGGAATTTGGGACTGTTCAAAGCAAATGGACTAGGGACCCATAACCACTGGAGCTGATGGCTTTATTAATCTGCTGTCTGCTTATATTTCTGCTTAATCACAGCTGACGGAAGCACTGTGGGCCTTAAATCAATGCCTTAGACAGAGCTCGCTGACCTAGTGAGCACCTGTCCACCACCAGGCACAGCTTCCAGAGGCCCATGCCACATGCTGAGAGAGGACTGCCTTCTTTTAGCACTTCAGCTTGGGAATCATTTCTGCTGTGATCAGAGCAGAGTGACCTTGTGAAAGTCATTAGATTCTTCTAGCTACAGTCTTTTGATCTGGGAAATGGGAATAGGCATTTCTATCATTCATTGTTTGGTCTGATAAGAAAGAACTCCAAGGTATGATAAATGATGAAAGCAAGGAACAGAGAAACATCCAGGTCATTTGCTGACATGTGAGTGTGTCAGTGTGTGTTTTCAGAACACATCTGCACACATGAAGTGCATGTACACATATATTCACATGTGCATATGGACATATTCTAGAAGGATCTACAAGAAAGTATTGGGTTCTGGGGAACGAGCACTCTATATTGTGTTTCCTTGGTAATATGGAGATTTTTACATATTTCTATTTCATTTTGAAAATCAGAATTGGAGAATCTGCCTTATACGGTGCTTGTGGATGATCAGATGAGATAATGCATATGGTGGGTTCTTTTTTGCTCCATGGGCCCGGGGAGTCGGATATGCACCCTGCCTACAAGCCAGCTTTTCTACAGCCGCGCTCACTTCCCCTCTGCACACACCAGGAAGGGTGGGGAAGGGAGTGCCTGGGCCGCCTGAGTGCTGGTGAACTCAGGCGTCCTCAGGATGAGCTTTTGCTTGTGAAATGAGAATGGCCTTTGAGTCGAGAACCTGTTAAATGTGTCTCTTAGGTTCAAAGCAGGAGGGACCTGGGAACGCAGGTCCTGTGCTCACACTCGGCTGGCACAGAATGCTCCCCCAGCACGGATGCCCTCGCCTCCCAGCTCCTTCCTAACTGACCGCAGCATGTTTTTACCCTTTCAGTAGAAGGTGCTGTTCACCCGCATATCACGAGGGTCTCGCTAAACTCATCTCTCTGTGAGGGGCCCACCTCTCTCTGTCTCCAAAGCCTCTTCTTATAGGGACAAGGGGAAGAGGCTTGTCAGCAGGTGCCACTCAGTTGTCACAAACCTCTAAGGTCGGTGCCATCCTCATCATAGGTCATCTTCCTCCCCCTCCTCCTCCTCTACTATTAGTAGCATAACTATTATTATTATTTTCATTATTATTATTATTTTCATGGTAAGACAGAGGCTTGGCACATTTTGGTGTTTTTCCTGCACACAGGGGCAGGGAAGAGACTCAGACACTTTTCCCACTTTTACCAGGGCCAGGCTGTGTGCTGTGGCCCTCAGCTTTGGTTTCTGTCCCCCAGCAGGGGAACTTCTACGTGCCCTCCGAGAACTGCATGCAGCGCGCTCACAAGTGGCACCGGGGGCTGTGCCTGCTACTCCTCCACGCCTACCAGGGACTGCGCGCCTACTTCCTGCTCATCATGAGGGACATCCCAGAGCTGCCTCACGTGGAGCTGGGTAAGGGGCCTGGCACAGGGACATGCATCCGACAGCCCCCTGCCTCTTTGGATGGGGCCCAAGCAGAGTCAGCTTGCTTCTGTAAGCCTCTGAGACACAGGCCCTGTTTCAGGTCATGTTTCTGTACCGTGCATCCTTCTAACAGGAGAGACTCTCGGACATGCAAATGCAGGAGGAAAAGATGCAAGCAGCTGAAGAAGCACTCATTCATCCACCAAGCACTTACTGAACGCCTACCATATACCTGACACTATTGGAACATAAGGCTAATTTGCTTTCTAAGGAAAAATGCTAGTTTATAGCCTTGTCTTAATTAGGCATAGTTACAGCATTGCAACTTACAAGAGTGTAAAAGAATCCTAAGAAACAAACACACATATACCTTTTAATCTGGACGATCATAGAGACTTCTTAGTAGGCATTGTAGTTGGTTTTCTGGGGATGAATTGCTTCCCGCCCATCATTAGACATTGTGAGGACAATTGGACCTGAATCCTCTTGATTGACAGATGGTGAAACTGAAGCTCAGAGAGGTCAAAGGACTGCTCAGGGTCACACAGCAACATGTAGTAGAACTGTGGCAGGAGCACAGAGGTCCTGCAGTGACTCCCAGGGTAGGGTCCTCGTTTCATGTCACACTCATTTACAGCAGGTGAAATGTCGAGGTTCTGTTCAAAGTCCTCTAATGAGGCCCTTGTGCCCTTAGACCAGAAGCCTGGGATTCAAGGTCAACAACAGAAAACCCCTGGATCCCTCATTTCTCTCCCTGTACCCCTAGACCCCACCTGCTGAGACAATCTTGCTCTGACAGTATTCGTGCCCTTGTACGCTGCCCATTGCACTGAACATGTCACATAACAGTGATGCATTTGTACATTTCTCTTCCCTACTAGACTTGGGGTCTTTGAGAGCTGAGGACCCCTAAGATTCTGCACACATGCTGCCGGTGAAGGGATGGGTGCAGCATGTGGATGAATTGAATTCTAGTGGTATCTTACCAATGAGCTTTATCAGCTCTAACACCACAAACAGGGCAGGTGCCACTCTCGAGCATGCAGCCATGGACTTGATATTTTTGCAGATTCAAATGCTGTGCACGCAAGAACAGAGCAGCTTGCATGGCTCAGAAGGGAGTGGAGATTGTGCAATAGATACTGACTTCTGCTTAACTGCTTTCTATCCAAAGGAACTCGGGTTTTTGTTTTTTGGTTCATGCAGTCATTATCCTATTTTTATTGAGCACCTACGATGTACCAGACATTGTGCCAGACACCAAGGACACAGCTGTGCTTAGTGTGACAAAAGGCCATCAAGCCGGGTGGGGCACACAGACCTGAGGAAGCAACCTAGTGGATAGGTGTGTGCTCATCGGCCATCATCGAGGACGGCTCTCATTTGCCTGGGCCATATGGCTTTTATTAGAACCCATACCACAGCCCAATGTAAACCACCGGCCACGTAGCTCCATGGAGCTAAGGGAGAGTTCAGACACAGGCAAGACTGTGCACATTAAGTCACAAATGGCCGGCAGCCCTCGCTTCCTGCTGGGGTGGTGTGGAAGGCCGTGATGATCATAATATCAGAGTCCACAGAGCTAGACGGTGGGCTCAGCCCTATGGCTCTACCTCTCTGGACTTCCAATCATCCATCTGTGTGGTGGAGATTCAAACCCATGTCCCACATGCCTCACTCATATGTGAGTGTGTGTGCACACGCCCATGTGCCTGCAAAGGCACAAGAGAATATAGAGTGACTTTGAACTTGCCCCAGGAGTCCTTGTTCCCCTCCTGGGGGTGAAGTCACAAGGCCCCAAGTCAGGCTGATCGTCTACCAACAGGAGCCCAGCAGGCAGTGGCCAGGCAAGAGGAGTCCTCAGGTGGAGTGTTTGTTTCTGTGACTCGGGCGCCCACTTCACACGGTGCTTCTTTCCTGCAGTGAGCAAGGGCGCCTGTCGGGGCTTCCTTTTCATTGCGTGCTCTTGTTTCTTTTCTTAGAGTCCCTGGCTGTTGAAGAGACGCTGTCTCAGCTGTGCTCCGAGCTACAGGTAAGTGGAGAACTGGCCCCTCCAGGCCCCTCCTGGGTTATGCAGGGCAAGCAGGGTTGCTTGGTAAAGACATCAGAGACGACAGCCAGGACTGTAGCCCACTCTGCACTTACACCCCTTCCCCCGAGTCACTGCGCATCTGTTAGGCGCACAGCCTGTGCCAACCTCTGCGCCAGGTGCTTTGGAACTAACGCGGGTAGCAGGTCTCGTGGTGGAGCTCACACCACACTTACGTGTCCATTACCCACCCCGTCAACAACGAGGAGCCTGCACGGAGGGTGATGAGGGCCTGGCAGCCGGCCCGCCTCTCCTCGCACACTTGGCCTCTCTTCTCACCTCTCCGGATCGTGCTCAGGCTGGCTCCTACAAGTATCAGTTCAGGAGGCCCGGGGTTCTCCTGAGCAAATGTGGGTAACGAGGAGAAGATGCTGGTGGGGCTGCTGAGCACCCACCGCAGGGAAACCACCTACCTGCTGGGGCTGTGAGGTCACAAGGGCTTCATCGTTCCCCAGGAGGCACTGAGACACCTGCTGTGTGAAGGCCGCGAGTGCTGTGGCTCTGTGAGTAAGTCCCAGCTGTGTGTCACCTAAGTCGGCCATGCTAGTCAATCCCTCTGAGTCTCACCTAATTTTTCTGTAAAATGATGGATAATAACTCCACCGAAAGGGAACTGTGTGGATGAAATGGAGGCACCTGTGAAACTCCAGGTGTCCGCTGCCCAAGTGGTAAATATTCATGAGCGGGAGCTGCACTGCTAGCAGAGGCTGCGCTCAGGACGTGACGCGGTAGAGAGCCAAATCCCGAGGACGGAGAGGGATTCCTTAGAAACACAGAAGTCAGTACAGACACCGGGAAGGAGACTGCAGTCACTCCCTGGGAGGGGGCCTTACTGCCACCTGTTTGCCTCCCCAGATGTTGAACAATCCAGAGAAGATAGCAGAGCAGATAAGTAAGGACCTCGCCTGGCTCGCCTCCCACCTGATGGCTCTGTGGACCCAGTTCCTGGACACGGTGACTCTCCACTCCCAAGTGACCACTTACCTCACGCAGGAGCATCACACCTTGAGGGTAAGGTGCCACATGGTATGAGTCCCATGCCAATGGCCTCTGGAGGAAGCTTCTCAGCAGTTAGTTCATTGGGCAGAATAAGAATTGGGGTGAATTTTGTAGACCGAGGCCTAGTCCTGGCTCCACTGGGAGCGGCACTGAGGTTTCTATGAATTACTCAGCCTCTCGCACCTTGGTTCCACCTTCATAAAATGCCTCCCTTGGCTACTAGATGACAACAGAGTCCATCTCAAGAGATATTATAATTGCTCTGAACATGTTTCGAAAAGTTTTCAAGTGTAAGACATCCTTCTTGGTGTCTTTCTTTGCTTCCAGGGTGGGTGCGTGTAGACAAGGACTGGCGCAAATAGAGGCGCAGGTCCCCTCGCTCACAGCAGAAGGGCCAGGTCTCGGAGGCCACAGAGGCCGAGGGGACACGCGCATGGCTGGCTTCGCAAATTCTCTTTCATCTGCGTTTGTTTAGGGCCCTTGTTTTCAAGTGTCTTATATTGTAGTAGAAGAAATAAGACCTAAATACACAGATGACAGAAAGCTATGCAAGAACAGACTCCTAGACGTGCACTGAACCCTGTCCACGCGCAGCTCGGTGGGAGCCGCGAGAGAGGCCCGGGAGGAGCAGCGGGACCCTCTCGGGCGGGCTCAGCACCTCCCGTTAGGACTTACCTCCTGGGACCGCAGCTTCCTTATAAAAGTCAAGATAATGCCACCCGCTGAACGAAACTGTTTACCTGATTTTATTCCTCAGGTTCGAAGGTTCTCCGAGGCTTTCTTCTACATGGAGCACCAAAAACTCGCCGTCCTGACCTTTCAGGAGAACCTGTGAGTAACCCATCACACCCCACGTCACACCCTGAAAGCAGGCACCCGGGACGTTGTCTTGCGGGAGACGTCTTCCCTCCCCTGCCTGTTGAGGCCGCACTGCCCCTGTGGGGAGCCAGACAAGTCACAGAGGCAGGAGCCGGGGACAGAGGCCCACAGCCACGTCTTCTTTTGTCAAGGGTCACTGTGGTCCTACAGACAGAATCAAGGTTCCTAGGCCCGGGAGACATCTGCAGCAAGTCCTCTTTGCAAAAATGAATTAGAAACAGATGGCGTGGCCACAAGTTATATCAGAAAAAACCCAGAATCCTCCAGAGACTTGGCAGTGGCTATGAACGCGCTTAGCGTAAGATTTAAGACTGACGCCCACATTAAGAGACGGGTGAATTTTTTGGTTCACTTTCATCCAAAATTAAAGAAGAAATTAAAGCATAGTCAAAAACGTCAGAGGGTTGACAGACCCTTGTCCCTCAGACTTCCCTGGTGAGCAGAAACAGTGGCTCCTCTCATGGGTCGGCCTTTGCCACACAAGCCCGAGGGCTTCTTTTTGTGTCTGAATGTTACGGCCACCTGAAAACTAAATGTGATGGGACCATGTTTGAGGTGCAGTAGATCCCAGGAGAGACCCTTGAGGTTCACTCATCACTCAACACAGACTGGAGGGCTTTCCCCCTCCTCTTTATAACCGTATTTTCTCCCCACACTTCCTGTGTTTGGGAAGCCCACTGACATTTAAAGCTTGCCTCGTGGGTTGTGAGAATGAGAGGGGCCCCGAGAGGAACATCTGTGCTCCAATAGCTTATCCAGAAATATCCAAGCGCTTACTCCCTCAGGCGTTTACTCATGCGTTCATTCAGCCCCAGCGAGGGCGGCCTGAATATAGTCCCTCAGGCTGAAATCAGAAGAGCTGAGACAAACACTGCAAATCCGGGAATCTGCCTCCTGAGTCACCCCAACAACAGGCGTGCCTCAGACTGCCTGCAGGGTTGTGTTCCCAAGGAGTGCAGCGCCCCGGAGGTGACAAGGTGCCTAGGCAACTATCCTACTGTCGTTTTGTTGAAACAGGACCCCTTGTACAAAGGACAGCCCACCTGGTTCACAATCCTGTTCTCCATCTATCTACAGACAGACTGACAGGCAGGCAGGCAGACAGACGTGAGCTGTGCATGCTCAGCTCTTCTCCTGAACTCACCCTGCCAACGTGCCCCCCTTCCCTTGCAAAGAGAAAGAAAGAGCCTTAACGCTGCTCCTCGGGGGAGGAGGGGAACAGACTGTCGCCCTTGTGTGGCCGTTGAGGAGAAGGGAGCGAACATTTGCCACCACCCAGCCTTTGAATTCGGAATTCTGATTATTTCTAACTGCGAACCAGGTTCCTGTTGGTGGGAGTTATTTGAGTCATGGAGCAAGACGATGGGGCATTTTTAAAACCCTGTGTGGGGGAACTGAAAAGCCAAGGGAACGTACACGCTGACCGAGGATGCCAGGTCCACACAGTAAGCGAGAAGAAAGCAATTTTAGATGGTTCTTAATTCAAGTGTCACAAATATGAGTCAGACACTGAGTGCTGTAGGTGGTCAGAGAAGAGTATAAATATAAGATTTCAGTTTTTCCTCCAAAATGTAAGATTCCTAGCCATTTGGAAATCCAGCCCATGCTCCACTAGAATGGCATCTACTACACTCGGCTGAGTGGTGCATGACAGGCCCCTACGTGTCGCCTAACCCTGCCATCCTCGGCCTCAGGCCCGGAGTGCAGGCCAGTCCCCGCGCTGGCAGACGGGGCTGTGGGGCGGGGCGGGGAGGTGGGCGGACAGACCGCCACGCCAGAGGCTGCTGGACATTCCCACATGTTTTCCTGGGATGGGGGGGCAGCAATCGTAAAGCGTTAAACTCTTCCTTGGGCGCTCGCCAGGATACAGTCCCACAGCCAGCTGTCCCTGGACATCCGGAACTCGGAGTACCTCAGCACCATGCCCCCGCTGCCCGCCGAGTGCCTGGACATCGACGGGGACGGGACCACCCTGCCAGTCATCTTCGAGGACCGATATGTGGACTGCCCTGCGACAGGTGTGTCTGGTTGGGGGAGACGCAAGAACAGGGTGCGCAGCGCGTCCCTCAGGGGCTCTGGTCACGGCCCCGCGCGGTGGGACCGAATGAGTGAGCAAGCAGTTTCTGAGCTCCCCGAGGGGAGGCAAAAACCGAGGCTGTTTGTTACTGGAAATGACTTTTTTCAGTGAAATCGACAAGTGAGTGTCACAACGGGACAGTTGTGGTAAAGGTTCCCCTCCCCGCTCCTTGCGGGGCCGAGCTGTACCAGCGCCCCAGCGTGTCCACCTGCAGAGCGACCACATTCTCCGTGACGGCGCCGAGCGTCAGGGGCGGGGACCCTTCCTTACCCGAGTGTGCTGTTCGGGCAGTGGGTCGCTTCTGGGTGAACATCGACGGCACTGCCGGGCCGCTGCGCAGTGCTGCTCTCCCCCGGAGCCAGGCAAGGGGCTCGCGGTGTGGGCTGCGTGAGTGTGTGGAGTGGCGCCGAGACACACCCAGGGAGGAAAGATAACGTGTGTCTTCACACATGGTGTGTTAGGCTGGAGTTGCGTGGCTTGTAAATGAGCTGATAGGTGACCTGGACAGAGCCTGCTGCAAACTGGAGGTGCCATGCACGTGAGTTCTCTGCCCCCCGCCCCCAGCCCTGCTTGGGGAGACCAGCACGCTAGTGCGGATGTCAGCTGAAACCCACCCATGATCCCCTAAAGGACCAGGAACAGCCAAGCCCTACACTGGGTGTTTTATGGGTTTTTGTGTTTTAATCCTATAACAAAAACCCTGCAGGCCCTGTTTCACGGGGAAGCTGAGCCACAAGGAGTATACGCATGAATTAAAGAGCATCAGCTTATAAAAGCCAACATTCACTGTGGTTCCCACGCCCATGATTCCTGCCTCGCCACCTTAGTGAGGGGTTTTAGGCCATTCTGCTGGGTGGGGGCCGCTGAGATTTCAGAGTGCCTGCGATCTGAGGTTTGTAGGGCGTTTTAAAATCTGGGTGACCTCGGAGGACAGTGCAGCCTTGCAAAGGAACGAGGTTCCGTGGCTCTCAGTCGTGCCCTGCCATCTAGTGTCCACACTGTGACTAAAATGCCGCTCTGGAGATGGCCGCCGGCCCAGCAGGTGGAGAAGCTTAAAACAGGGCATTGACCATCCCCCTACCCACGCCCCTCCCAAGTACTTTCACAGGGTTTCCCATGTCCCCATTCAAAACCCAAAGCTTTCCTTGACCTCTCATTGTTTTACAATGTACTTTGATGATTCCTTAATCCCAGGAAAAAAGTATTAGCAAATCAAGAACTATTTTATTTTTCTCAAGGGTTTAGCAGCCTTAATATTAATAACCTGAAATGAGGTTATCAGATTTGCATTCCATTTTTGTAGTGGAGTCAAAGAGGGAAATAAAAGAGTTGCCTTTGCATGTTAAAATAATAACATTTGTTCATGGTTTGCCACCACACCATGGCTAGCACTCCTGCGGAACGCAAGGCACACGCGAGCTCTATGTTATCTGCGATCCCTGCTCCACGCACCCCTCGCTCCCCCGTCCCAAGGTGACTGAGCCCCTGCCTGAGGCCTTCACAGTTGGCCGGGCTCCCTGGATTCGAATCTTTGTTGCAACATTAGCAACTGTGAAATTGGGCCAAAGCTTGTAATTTCTCTCGTAGAACTACTGCAAGCCCTGGAGAGACCCGTTCGTAGGACACTTCAGAGTGACTGGCACAGAAGTTATGAACGGATGACCGATGGCACCATTAGTCAGGGTCGGACTCTGCGCCATCGACTGAGATCCGCTGCTGCCCTCATTGCTCCTTAGTTGCAGTGAAAGCAAAATTTTGCTCTTTCGACAGCATTGGGCTCCCTCACTGGTCTCCCTAAGTCCTGTCTCAACTGTCCAGGATAAATCTGATAAATCTTTTACTTCTGTCCCAAGAATGCACCAATCCATCTGCTACCTGTAATATAAGAACCAGACTTCACATTTGTACAGGGCATTCAAGTTCGTCCATAGTCTGGGCTTTCTCTACCTGTCCAACCTCACCCCCTGCTTCCTCTGGCCACTCTTGCTCCATCCACGTGGGCTGTAACCAACGCCTGACCAGACCGTGCGTCCCAGGCTCCCGGGCCTTTGCCCGCACCGTTCCCCTTTGGAGTATGATTCATTATCTCCTCGGAAGACGGTGAATTCACATTCCCCAGCATGTGGCCCACATTCTTTTGGCAGGAGAACCAACTCTACTGTAGCTGCACATGTTTCTTAATATTTTTAAAATCCTCTAAAAGCAGAAACTGGCTCACTATTATAACTAACCCCCACCTTCCCTCTCCCTAACCCATGGCAAGTCTAGGGCTTTGCCTAGAGGAGGTGTTAGCCCATTTTCGGGACTAAATGAAACTGAAGGTACATTTTTGTCAAACCAATACAAACAGTTAACGAGACTCATTGCCTTTGTTCTGCTGCATTTCTGTTCTGTTCTTAATTCATTTACGAATGCAGTTTGTTGGTGATATGCCAGCCATGGTGCTGGCCTTGGGGATGTAGATATTCCTAAAATATAAGCTCTTCTCTCCAGTGAGAACATGAGATGCACCGTGGCTTATAGCAGTGGTGGGGAACATCCAGCCCACAGGCCCTATACAGCCAACAAAATCATTTGGTCTGGTCCTGCCAAGGCAACTGCAGGCGGAATTCGAAATTCAATAAATCTAGGAGATTTTTCATAGCTAATTTTTAAGTTGGTAATTTTGTAGGGCCCTTGAATGCTACGTACCATGCCTAGCACACCTGCTGAATGCGAGGCACACGCATTCAGGGTTAGAGTACGGTGATAGATGTGTTACGGCACATGTGTGCCGAGTAGATGCTGGGGTTTGCAACAGAGGGTGTCTAACTTGCTGTAGAGTGTGGAAAATTCCCCTGGGGAAGGAAATTAGCTTAGTCTCTCAAGATGCAAAGAACGTGTTCAGGTGAGAAGAGGCCCATTTCTTTAGTCTTTGTTCTCACCCTTGACCCAACCATAAAGTTCACTTAAAGGTGTAAGATGATGCTGCTCAAAGTCCCACCCAGTTTTTAAGGAAGTGTCTCAATGGTTTACTTCTTGTGTTTTTTAAAAATGTATCTTTATTGTTGAAAGTATTACAGATGTCCCCCCTTTTCCCCACTGACTTCCTCCATGGCCTCCCCCAGGCTTTTACCACACTATTTTGATTACAGTCCTTTAACTTCTATTAGACCTGTAAGAAGCATTGAAGCTTTTTTAAGAAAATAAAAGACCAGCCTTTTTTTGTTTGTTTGGTGTGTGTGGAAATTGAAGCCTCAGTGTCCAGCATTTTTATTGGGTTTCATTGTGCAGGTGTGCTTGATTGAGTCACTGCCAACATTGCTGAACTCAGTCCCCGGCCTCCCTCCCCCCTCAGAGGTTGTACTGGTATCACTTGGCACAAAGCCCCAACCAATTGCATGGCTGGTCTTTCTGGCATTGCCAGCCACCACCCTGAGCCATCTCTTTAGCATAAACTATCAAAAGACTCACCATGAGTCCCTTGGTTACCATGAGCTCTCAAGGCCCAGGAATACAAAGACATTCTTATTACTTGGGAAATTCTAAGAATTTAGAGGTTACCTCCCAGGTACTAGGCACAAAGTCCCACCAAATTCTTTATGATACCATCATATGGATAATTTGTGAATATAGATTCTTAAACTACAGTATGCTTTTTTTCTTTTTTCTTTTTGTAGGGCATAATTTGAGTGTTTACCCTAATTTTGATGTTCCAGCAACAAGTCCTGCAAAAATGAGTCTAAAAGACAGAGAAGGGAACCATATTGTAAATAGAAAATCACCTTTTAGGGAAAACCTCACCTTGCCCACCCTGAAAGTACCCCCAGTGGACTCCAGTGAAGAGGAGATTGCTTGTCCAGTGTCATATGAGGATGCGGCTGCACCAAATCACGCAGACGAGTGTTCTGAATCTCAGGTGTATCTGACGGTTGGTGAATTCCGGGACAAAGCAGGTCTGCCTGAAGATGAATGTTGGGCTGGCCAAAGGCCTGCTGTCGGAGCACATTCACCTGCAGATGACGATCTGCCCGGAGGGAGCCCAGGCCCGGAGGAGGGCCAGGGCCCAGCACCGGCCTACATTGATGTGAAGTCCAACAGCGAGCACCCGGCCAGAGCTGAACCCACAGTGGTCATCAGCAATCAGCATGGGAGTGGGTGCCTTCGAGATAATTACGAATTAGATGGAACTCTGCTAAGCAGAGGGGTGGCAAGTGGGAGCCGTCAAAATGCCACCTCTTCAGAGAAAGCAGGGCTGCACGAGTCAAGGACTCGAGGAAAAGGAGCTGACCAAGAGGGCAAGATGCCACTGCTGAGTCTGAAGCTCTGCCCCCAGGAGTCTAGCGGTCCACTAAACTCTACATTGAGGGATCCCCTGGATGTCAGAGCTTCCCCAAAGGACCCTCACACTGAAGAGCAAGAGGAAGTGTCAGTGCTGTCTGGGGTCAAGAGATCTTCCTCTATCATCTCTGACTCCGGCATTGAAAGTGAGCCGAGCTCCGTGGCCTGGTCCGAGGCCCGAAGCAAGGCCCTGGAGTTACCCAGTGACCGGGAAGCCTTGCACCAGCTCATGCGAAGACACGCCCTGCACAGGAACTCCCTGGAGGGTGGACACATGGAGAGCAACGTGAGTTTGCCGAGCGGGATCCAGGCATCACTCACCTCCATTAGCTCTCTGCCTTTTGAGGAGGAGGAACGGGAGTTGGCACTCACCAAGTTGACCAAGTCAGTATCTGCACCCCAAATCAGTAGCCCAGAGGAGTCTGCTGAAGACACGGTCACCATGCGGCACGGGGGAGGTCTTGCTGAAATGTCAGCTGGGCACGTCAAGAGCACAGAAACCCCAGGACACTGCAGTCAACCCAGTAGTGCTGGTTCCAGAATCCAGGACACCGGGGTCGACCGTTCCCTTGTGGAGGTGGTTCCAGATGCTGACCAGCAGGGCCCTGGTTACATAGACATCCCCAAAGATAAAGAGATTCACTTTGATCTTCCAGGATCCCGTTGTCTTGACAGCAGGACTGAGAACCCTCCAGGAGTTGAAACCAAAGGTCTTAATGTAAGAATACCACATAACCTCACACTGGAAAACCCTAGGAGCAGAGCCTTCCCTAGGGCACAGATGGGGACCCCCAATGGCACGCCTGAGGACTCGGATGTGGGGAAGAGAGCTCTTTCCGACAGCAGCAGCTCAGACATTGAGAGCCTCACTGACCACAAGGTGCCTGAATTGAGCTGCACATCAGCTGTGGATGCCATCAACCCAGATCCAACAGGCGAGGGAAGCAGGTCCCCTTGCCTCTTTGAGGAAACGGCATTTGGTAGAGAAGCTAACACCTCCCTGGAGGGAGGACATCAGGCAGGCACTGTGTGCTCCGCCGTGACTCACTCCACTCACTCCCAAGTTCTGGCACAGCAAGAGCCCAGGGCAGGTGCCTCCATCCCGGTGTCCCCCCTGACCCCGGCAGAGA